TTAAAAGTTATTAGGATGATTAACCAACCCGTAGTTGTAAACTTTGCATTTCATTTAGACGTCTTTAAGTCATTTATTTCAGACAGGCTTACAGGTCTAAGCCGTAAAGCTAGCTCGGTAGAAATGTTTGCAAATTTTTCTGCCTTCTTAATAGGAACTAAAAACTGTGAGGGTATTAGATCAAAAGTGCACTTCTAAAAAAGGTCGCTGTGACAGTTATAAGCCCTAAAAAGGACCCTTCGAATAATGCTTCGTAGAAGTGTATGGAGAAGCAGTCGATTTTAATTAAGGCGATATCCACCATACAATTAATAACGTGACATAAGATCAAATACTACTGATATCAATAATGACATAAAGTCCATAAATGAATCTTAGTGACCAGGTCACTTCAGATAGAAAGCTGTACAACTTCTTTTTATCTCTTTAGTCTTTTATTAAGATCTGTCCTTGGTTGGATAATTACTTAACTTTACTTAGATCATGCCTCTGGGATTATTTGAATTTTAGGGATCTGGTAACTTCAGATAGAAAGCTTTACAACTTCTTTTTCTTTATTTATTTAAGATCTGTCCTTGGTTGGATAATTACTTAATTTTACTTCGATCATGCCTCTGCGATTATGATTACGGGGATTTGAACTAATAATGTCATGAAGTCCATAAAAGAATATTAGGGATCTGGTCGGTCTGCGTGAGGAATAATAATTTAAAGAAGCAGACAAAAGAACTTCGTTATCAAGTCGTCGATTACTTATAAAATCTTTCTTCTGCCCTGACAAAATTAACGCAGCAGACACGCTCAAGAAAATTATATTTTTTAATGAAGTGTATAAAATGTTTTAAATGTTTTAAAATATCCCTTATTACCTTCAACTGTTTCGGTAAATAGCGATCAGAGCCAAATTTTGCAACAATATTGATATAAAAGCTAAGATACTAAAACCCACAATTATTTGCTGCAATTTTTCCCGAGAAAGTCATATGAATTTCGTTCAGAGTACTGGTATAAACATCGATCTCGATCACTTTAATGCTGTGGGAGAAGTAGCGATAGAAACAGGCAAAAGAATATGATGAAGTCGATAGAGTCGATGATATTCTGAATACCCCTTCTTGTCTACTAATATTATGTATTTTTAAAATTTGATAAGCCACGTTTCTCTCTGTGTGTGTATTGGCAGTCGGTTTGATTGTGTCTGTGTCTGTGTGTTGTAACAGGCAACAGGTAAAAGCCAAAACATATCGTTCGTCATAGACAATTGGCCAACGCAGTTGCTGGAATGGAGGAGGGGCTGGAGGGCAGGCGAGGTGTGGTTGGCCGGCCCAAACGGGCCAGGGCAAGGCTGAGCTTGGCTGGCCAGGCTGGGAAGGCTGGCAGACCAAAGAGATCGACAGCAGATTGTTTTGTTGTGTTTTGTTCTGTTTTGTTCTGTTCTGTTCTGTTAGCCGTTGTTGTTAGCAGGCATGTGCATGGAGACTGCAGTCGATCACTCATCCGTGGCACAAAACGGGCCGCTCACTAGTGGCCGCCCCCGACGACGGCTCCCGCACAGGCAACAGCAACCTCCTTGTCGCTTTAGCTCTTTAACTCTTTGGCTGTTAAGCTGGCTCGGCAGCGGGGCAGGGGCAGCGACAGTCTATGCCATTTTGGGCTTGCAACTGCCACAGAAACCTGGACGAGCTGATCTTGATCACAATTTGAACGTTTGTCTGCACGATCATGCGTTTCAATTGTTGCGACTGTTGCGGCTGCGCAGTTGTTTCCTGTTTTGTTACTGTTCTTGTTGTTGTTGCTGCTGTTGTTTTAGTTGCAGTTGTTGTTGTTGTTGTTGTTGTGTCGTACAAGCCATTTGGGCATTCGGGCATGCGCCTTTAAATTGCAGTAACCCCAATTACATGACAAGTAAAACAGCCGAGTCTAAGCAACTATAGTACATACAAGTACAAGCGCCCTTAGCATCGGCCAGTTGCCAGCCCAACCTGTTGACTCTGCGGCTTAGAGTTTTCTCTTTTTATTTGGCTGCTGAGCCAGTTTCCTCAGCTGTGCGTCTGGGACGACCCACAAGTTGAGCGTATCTTTCAGATACGAGCAACTCACTGCTCTAAGGCAATTAGATAGCAACAAACGCAGCCAGCCATGTTGATGAGTTTATGGCAAAAATTGATTTCCAGTTGCTGCCGTTGTCTTTGTTGTTGTTGTTGTTGTTGTTGGTATAGTCTGCTCCTGCAGCTTGATTGGCGAAATGTTCGTTATGTGATTGCTCTGACTTCAAAAATAGCGAAAAGACAGTTTGTCTCCCTGTTTGTCTGCCCGTCTGCCCGCCTGCCCGACTGCCTGCCTGTCTTTCCATCCATCAGCATGCGACTCAGTTTTAGTTTAGTTGTTGCTGTAATTGCCTATTTTAATGAGATTTCGCAGCGCATTTTCCGCTTTCCGTCACACAATTATTTCGATTTTCCTTTGCCATGCCAGTTTTTCAAAGAATATGCACGATCACGATCACTATTGGGCGTCTGTGTTTGGGCGTCTTGCGATAACAATTTACATACATCTTGTTGTAGTTTCGCAGATTAAAATTAGCGATTGTGTCGATAGCCGTGTATATATGTTTGGCAATCAGTTTGACTGCGATTGATATTCCCACACATTTTCTTAAGCCAGAGGAGAGAGTGCAGGGAGAGCAGGAGCAAGTAGCCTCTGGACTGTAGTCAAGTTGTTGGAGATGGCGCAACGATAAACACACTGAATAGCATTAGCTGGACAAAATGTTAGTGTAAATGGGCCTGGGAAATGTCGTTCAGTAGTAACGGAGAGCAAATATACAGGCCTCCTTACAACCCTAAGGTACAAGCAGATTGAACAATAAACTGTATGGCCAACTCAGAGATGGACGAAATCGTAACCATACATTTTTTATATAATCGTTCCCTATATAACGTGCATCAAACTAAACCGAATAACAATGAAAGAGAGCTATTTTCATAAGATGTCTTACTTATTTCAAGAAGAAGCTATTCTACCATTTTCACATAAAATCTGACAGCGTTAAGTTTGGAATTGTTTAGCGTCGTGTTATATGAGCTCTTGTTGATTTCTTAAAAGAATCTTATAGCGTTATAAATCTTTAAATAAATAACCACCATCAAAATGCCACAAGACAGTACAGGTGGTTCTTTAAGCTAATCCCGAAAGTCCTTTGCTGTAGCAGGAATCGCGTAAGGGCCGTCTTAATACGGTTATTGTGTCAGAAGTAGGATATATTTGATAATGCTATATTTATATGTAGATGAAGATGGGTTAGAAGCATTCTTGGCTATTTCAGGACTGACATTCAGTTAATATTGTTAATATATACATTGGCTGTCTATCCTCACTTGCATTAAGGCCTTTTCCATTTCATTTCTTAAAACAAACTAAGATCATAATATCAAGTTAAGAAGTTATCTTCGTCTCCTACCCCTCACTGCGTCTTTCAATAAATACTTTATCACTCCATTTTATCCTTTCTATCAAATTTTTCATTAGAAAGAATTCCATACTTATTTTAAATTTATTCAATTATACTTGTAGTCACCATGTGCTACCAAAAGTATTACAACACTATACAATAAAATGATCTGAAATATTTTGCATCGAAATTTTTTATCTGTGTCTGCCAAAAAAGCTTCGGCGCAACGTTTTAGAAGTGGTGATTGAATATTGGATTCGCCTGATCATATATTTACGTATTTATATCTTGTGGATCCCCTAGGCGTGTTCACCCTACACACCTAAGCCTCAAACCTCAAATGTACAGCACAGAATTTCGCAAAGTCAGCATCGGGATTTAAAAAATAACAATAAATATTATAATTTCTATCAAATTATATTTATAATCATCAATCTGCCATCCAGTGCAATCCTAAAGGAAAAAAAAACAAAGAAAAGTGCTTGCCTATTAATAGATTTATGATATATAGGATTGTACAGTTCAGCTTGACAATAATTTCTCCTTTAAAACCCTTAAAGTTATTCCCAAGCGGAAATCCAATTGCAAAAACGGTAAAAACTTAACTTGCGCTAAGGAGAAGGCGTTTCTAATCCCACTAAGTATATACATAGATATATTCTAGATATGCATTAGGGGACGACTGTCTGAGTAAAGACCTGGATTTCGGTACGATCCACACAGACCAAAATAATTGTATTCTACATACTTCCATCTGCAGTCTTCTTTTTTTAGGTTCTCTATACGAAAACACCGCCCTGACAGATTTAAAATCGGATTCAAAACTTCTAAATTAATCTATGAAGTGTTCTTGTAATTTAAAAGATCCTTGACCCAAATTTCAAGATTCAATCGCTTCTACTTTTCTTAAATCCGAATAAATCCGATGGCCTGTGTTGGCCAATTAAATAAATATTAGTGGTTAATACAAATTTCATTTATTTTCTTATGTAATTTCACAATTGCCCATGAAATGCCAATAAGCTTTAAAAATAGCTTAATCCCGTTAGCATATCATTCCATCTTTCAACCAATTGTTGAATGTATCCCAATTGTATCCTGCATACTAAAAACACCGTCAAAAGTTAAATGAACATCGGGACCACCTGAACAGTGCTGTCTGTTTCGATGTTTTTCCCGGGAAGCATAAAATATTTATAGAACAAATTTCGATTAATAATTGAAATGCCATTTACTCTTCTTTTCCAATTTTCTTGGTTATGCTAAGAGGTTTGTTTAAATGCACAGCAAAATAGGGAAGACTCCCCGCTTACTCAACCACTTCCTCGCTTCCCTTTCGAATGTTGCGACCACACGCTGCCTGGACACTCGGACTAATCTTATCGTGCTATGAAACTCAAGAGCTAACAAAACCTTAACAGCCAGCATCTCGTTAATACATGCAAATTTAATGATCCTCAACACATTTAGAATTACCATAGCGTAGAATATTTTTATGAACATGTTTTTTGACAGTGTGACTTGGATTTGTGTCCCTTAGCCACTTTACCTTATTTCCATAATCCAGAGTAAGTAGATTAAAAGTTTGTTATGTATTTTCCACATATCTGCGCCGTAAAAGAAAATGCAACGCACACACAAATGTCATCATATTATTTTCACGCCCAAATAGTTGCTTTGAAATTTTAGAAGTTTCCAACGAATCTCTGCTGAGCTTTGCACAAATGTGCCACACATGCTTCTGTTTTCAAACAAATCACTCGCTTTTGTTTATCCCGTAGTTGTTGTTGTTGTTTTTCCTTAGGGTTTTATTGCGTTCGCGTTGACTCGAGTGGCGTTTTTACTGATGAATCGCTGTCATAGGACACCGAGTGGGCCTCAAACTGCAATCGTATAGTATGTGGAAAGTAAGTGAACGCCTTTGTTGTTGCTAATGAACTGGAATAGTGGGCCCAAGCACACTCGCATATTTGTAGACAACGAATTAAATTTGGTTATCGAATTGCCGTGGTTTATTTTGTATTTATTTTGTATTTTTTTTTTTTTTTTGTATTTGTTCATATGTTAATTAACACCTTCCGCTAACGGCCTCTGGTCGAAGTCGAAGACCGAGCGTAGAAGCCGAGGCACTTAAATTAAGTCATCGCGAGCGCGAAGAAAAGATCATTGTAAGTTAGAGGCTCCGGGCTTAGCGGCTAATTTATCACAAGGTGCGTTTCATTCATGCAAATATCGGCGGCCATAACTCAGAGCTGCCGGCCCCTGTGACGACAGCGGCATCATTCATCAGCAGCATCAGCCTCAGCCTCAGCATCAAGAGCTGCACACACACGCACTGTCCATCCGACGAAGAGACCGCAAGAGACAGCAGAGACCGCGAGAGATCGCGCGATTGTCGTGTCGATCGCTACACGATTTTTTAATTTATGATAAAGCGCCTCCGACTGTCACAACGAAATTGCGGCAATAACCATAAACGGCACAGCAGGTGAAGACTACTACCAAAAAATGCCGAATGTTAATTTGCCGCACTCGATAAAGACGCGTTCGCATTGATGAGCACCAGGAATAGCCGCTGATGCCGCTCAGACGTGGACAGTGGCGAGATTTACATAAATGCGGCTCATTAGTGACACAATTAAAGAGCTGAGCCAACACCGATACGCATCCAACAGCAAGTGTATTCATATGTATGTATGTATGTAGGATGCGACCAATTCTAAGCGATGCAGTTAGTCGTCAAATGTTGTTATTGTTGTTGGCAGCACCACCGCTGCGCGCCCAACCGTTTGGGTCGAATGTCGTATAAGAACTGGCCAGGCATAACACACAAAAACCTTACGTAGCAACCAACACGAACATGTTCGAACGACGGAAGCTGTGCGCTTGCGCATGTGCGCCAAGACGGACTCGAACGGTTCGATGGGTTCATGCCAAATACACATGTACATGTACACGTACATATATTACTGAACATGTTCGATCGTTGCAGCTCAGCATCCTTCGTCGCACCTTTGCACGTGACTTTCAGCCAACCAACGGTAATAGCTTATACAATTTTGACTTGACGACTCAGCAGCCATTATACGAGTACGAGTATGTGCCATTGTTGTAAATAATAATGATGTCTCTCTCTCTCACTCGTGTACTGCTCTCCCTTTCTTTCTCCTCTAGCTTTCTGAGCATTGTTAAGTTGGAAAAACTTTCATCAATTTGGCGGCGCAAGACAATCAAATCCATTATGATCTACCGGCGAAATGTGGGTAAGAGTCATGTTAATGGTTAACAATCAAAACTGCTGGTTGCCTCTACAAATGCTACAACAAACACACTTATACAAATCTATCACATCCACAGCATGTAGCGCCATTTGTCAGCAATAAATAAAACACGATATATGTATGTACATATATGTATACTTATTATGTATGTATGTTGATGCCTGTCTCTTTTCACGAAAATAAATGACAGCCTCTTCGAAAATATTGACAATCAGATATGCTGGTATGCTCTCGATCCCCATAATGTCGTCCTTTGCATACATGATAAATAAATATCTTTATTTAATTATGCACTAATCAAGAAAAGGATTCTTGATTAAATATGTTAGTTTCCCGAAACGTTTGCGCTTTTTCTATAATCACACCTGATTGATGCAACACGAATCAATGTCCAAACAAAAGCATCTGAATCTAATCCAAGCATTACAGAAAACAGATCCATGTTCGGCGACTGATTTTAAGACTTCATTTCGAGCACAATTAGTTTCAATATATAACTTCTGGAAACATATGGTAATAGGAAATCATTTGAGCGAATTTTACAAACTTAAATGGCTTCATTTCAAGCAAGCTACATATTTACAAAGAGTTATAAATTAATTATTTCCACTTGTAATTTCTTTCACGAACCATTCGATTTGGTACGAGTATGTTGGCGATTAAGTTACATGAATGACATTTTCGTGAAGCGTCGGAACATAAACTACTATAAGTATTTAACAAAATCGGACACAACACTCACTCAAAATCATGTTCATCAAAATGTACGCGTGTGTGTACTTGTAGTTACAAATGTTTTCATGTGCAAAGTTGTTGTCGCTGTTACTATTGTTATTGTTGTAATGGTTGTTGTACATTTACAACTTGTTTAAATTTGCAATCGCGGCAACTGCGAAATTTTTTTTCAGCTGTACAAATTGTTTTTTAACATTTGTACAAAATGATTTATTAGCGGTTATTTACTGCCGGCCAGTCCCGCCTTTTGGCCAGTTGTGAAATTTGTTTCAAACGGGCTAAATGAACGCGCTTCTGCCACGCCATTTACGGTAGCTTGACACTTGGCCGCCTGTTGGGTCTAACTTGGAACCGAATCAGCCGTTGTTGTTATTTTTGTACAATTGGTCAAGTCAATGGCTAATGCGTTTCTTGGATAAGTGTCGCTTTAATTGATATGCGATTTATGCTAATTTGTGTGCAGTCCAAGTGGTAATATCTATGTCATAGATTAACTCTATATCCCCAGTTGTAATCTGAGCTTAAGCTATACAACACATATTTATAATCAATCAGTATGCATGTGTGTCTGTGTTTATGGCATTTTAAGTAACGATCTGTGGTATGACGCTGTAATTTTTGCAGCTCATTAAATGCAATTAAGTTAATTTAAACAATTTTGTTAGATACATGTACACTTTGACAAGCAAAAGCCATATAAATCAACAAATCCCAGCAACTTTATTCAGGTGTATGACAAGCAACGACAAAATCATTGTTAAGTGCATTTTAGATATTATTGGGGCGCAGTGAGTAATAGATTTAGCCATAGAATGCATGAAAATATCTCGCATATATTTAGTTGGAAAAAATAACGAATAAGCTGTAAACAATTTTAAGGGAATTAGTATTTAAATGTTATCCTAACTTATATATTATCTTCAATCATTAACAGATAGGGGAAAAATCTAGATGGATGTAGGAAAAACCGTTTGGAAGACCTTTTCTTCGAGCTAAAATATAAAAAAAGAGTTGGGCTACGATAGCTTTGGTACCAATACATCCTGAAGGCTTAGAGAAACTGTGGAACCGTCACTAAGTTGGCAATCCTTTCTAAGCGATCTTACTGAGTGAAAATATCAATACCATATTGATATTGTTTCATATCGTATCGAAAACATTCCATTTCTAGCATCCTCAGTGTTACATCTATTGCGTTAAATTTGTGATATGTGTGTATTTCACATCGAATTGCTATAGAGTATAGCAGCTGCTATAACAAATATTAGGCTAAAGAAGTCTGTAATAGTGTTATAAAATAGTTTTTGCTTTCGAAGATCTAAGAACCAAATGAAGCATTGGATTACAAGTATAATGATAGGCAACTTTAATAGACAACTTTAATATTTATATTTATTTCGGATTCCTGTTTTTATGCTAAGTTTTTGAAATAGTGGTAATGCAACCGAAAATCAAACTAATGGCATTACACATAATTCTGTTTTTACACTGTAGATTGGTTCCAGAAAAAGTCGTGTAAAAAGCCGTGTTAAATTAAAACCCTGTAAAAAACAAGAGAGAACGCTACAGTCGAGCAAGCCCGACAGTGTAATACCCTGTACCCAGGTAAACTTCCGTCACTGAGTTATATGCGCCCATAGCAGCAGCAAAAAGAGGAAGAAGAAGAGCGAACTTGTTGCTGCAGTTTGTGGGGCTGTACTGGCGAGAATTTGTTTTGCTAATAACTTTTCTTAGAATTGACCGAATTGAATAAAATGAACAACAGTAGACAATTATATATAAATTATGTGTGCAAAGTTTGGAACGTGGACGCTATTGACGAAATTCTGCAGCGGGGGAAGGGGGGGAAAATTCCCAAAAATAAAATAAACTCGTCCTTATTCAGACCTAGGAGAATCTGGATGCCAACTTTGGTTATTCTAGCTTTTATAGTTTCTGAGATCCTCGCGTTCATCCAGACGGACGAACAGAAGGACAGACGGACGGACAGACGGACGGACAGACGGACGGACATGTCTAGATCGATTTCTCTCGTCATGCTGATCAAGAATATATATACTTTATGGGGTCGGAGATGCTTCCTTCTGTATGTTACATACTTTGCACAAACCTAATATACCCTTTTTACCCTACGGGTACAGGGTATAAAAATACCGTGTAAATCAGAATTAGATGTAATAAGAAAGCTTTATCAGGTATGTTGAAAATGAAAAGCATATTAAAGAGCAGGTGTTGTTAAACTATGATTTTTATAATGCAATATCCTTCCTAAGTCATATTTTTATGTGAACTTTCCTGGGAATAGCTTGATAATTCTGTCATCATAATACATTTAAGATATAGTCTTTATTATTCATATTGGAGTCATAATAAGAGTAGAATACCAATAAGCTAACAACAACCAACCACATTGTATGTACTCGCAGATCTAATCACATGACTTTTCTTTTTTAAATATTTTAATATTAAGTCAAAAACAATTAATTGTTATATACAAAGAGTAATAGAATAAGTTTTTATTTTCAAGGTTCAATTGGGCTTAAATTTAAAGGCCTTACGTTTCCTTTGAGACACCAATTAGCGTACAAAATGTATGACTCTTGAGGCATCCTCCATAAACAATAGCCAATTTTTTGTACGTAGAGTATGTGTAAGTGACAAATAGTTGACGTTGACTTTTGGTTAAAATTAAGATGAGCTCTAAAATAAGATAAATGTGGCATGACGCTCATGCTTTGTGACTAAGACTGGCAGGCGCACAACAACATGGCCAATTATTGCCATTGTTTGACAGTTGCAGCCACATTGGCGACCCATTGTTGTTTCTGGTGGCTTCAATTTCGCAGTTGTTAGTACTGCAGTAAACTTCAATCATAGTTGACTTGATGGCTGGCCGTGTGACCCAGATAACGTCTTGTGCAAAATATTTGATTGTGTGCTTAGGTTGTTAAATTAAAGCTAATTGTCTAATGGCAGCACAGACACACTATGCAAGCAATACAGGCATTACAGGCAGAGAGGCGACTTTACGACAGTCGATCGATTGTTGATTGGCAATCTCAAACACAACAGGCAACATTGTTGCACTAAAGATTGACAGCCGGCCAGTCAGGTGGCATGTGGGAGTGAATAGTTGGAAAAAAGACATCCATATTGCAATGTTGCTGTCCGCGCACATTAAAATATCTAAATTATTTTTACTAGTTTTTTACTTAAGTCTTTTGTTTGTTGCAACTTGATACTTGCCTACAGTTTGAAATATATAGAATAATGCCGTCCATATATACGTTAGATCATTGGAAATCAAATCAAAACCAGAGTGTGGAACCATTTAATTGAAATGTCGCGTCACAGTCTGGCCATCCAAATGCCACAACTTCATTGTAAAATG